TTCTAACGACTACGGCATGCACGACTATGAGTACACGCCCCCCCCCCCCACCCGCCGCCGCTGTTCACTGTGCTGTACTGTAATACTGCCACATATCGCGGACAACCACGTACTCTCCGCTGTAGGACGGGTCTGATGGCACTCCCCACCACCTCTCTTGAGGGCTTGATGAAGTGGATTGTCAACAGGTCAAGAGACAGAAATAAATATGAAAAATACGAAGTACTTCAAAGGAAAAGAGAACCGGGAGGATGCGACAGTCCAAAGGAAAAAGAAATGCCATTAAAGAAAATGGACGACTCAGGCCGGTCCTTCGACCGAAACCTCAACCGTTTTTGACGTTTCTTAACTGCGGGCGCTATCTGTATGAGAAATAGCGCTGTCGAATACGGTTTATTACTCTTTTCCGCTAGTTTTTCGTCGTTACTGCAGCCAAGTCCGCCATGTATTACTGCCAAGCATTATTGTGCTTTTACACTGCGAATCATGCTGGTTGAGGCTCAGTATGAACAAAGTCCGAAAAACCGAATTAATACCCAAAATCAAGCCCTGGCTGGTCAAAGCCCAAAATTTGGCCTTGTCTGGGTTTACGGCGAGCTCACTTTTCATTTCTGGCTTGGACAAAAAATCATTGCTTGGAGGAATTATCGTAACACACGTAGTCAGAAATCAAGAATCCCGATCAAAGTATTTTTTGTTTACGGCCAACACAGCCGTCTTGATTTTTGGTTCTTCGATGTTGACTTGTTGAGCACCGTCCTACTATTATTCAACCTCAAGCTCAAGCATGTACGCAAGCGCCCCTCCCATAGTTTTCCCATCAAAAGATGCCCGTCACGCGCTCACCTACACTAGTTTCTCCGCCCAACCACGGTGATGGTCGCGGCCCGGGTTCAAAGGCCATTTTGAGGTGCAGGACCAGGTGCTTGTTTCATGAGTACTGCTGAGCATCGAGAATAGGCTTCTGCCGTGTAGGCTCCACCGATGGGTTGTGTGTTTTTCAACCAATTTGCCCTGTGTTTCGTGACAATCTGAACGTCTTTGTGCTCACAGAATATTTCTTGATTGCGGGTCCCAACTATGTTCCGCTGTGCCCAAACCTACCGGGTATTCTTGGCATCGCGCCGTTCACGGTCGCACCCACACCCTCAGGTACGGCTGCTCCTGACCGTTACCGCGGACAGCGACGCCGACGAGTGGGTGTACGGATACCCGGACTTCCTTCCCCAGGACTACTACAACTCGTGCGTCGGCACCACGGCCGCAGGCACGGTGAGCGGCACGGGCATCATATGGGGCACTGTGTCAGGCAGTGGTACCCCCGAGGATGCTGGGGCGTACACCTCCCTCTCAGGGTGAGTTGGGGATGCCCGTTCGTTGTGCATGCAATGTGTTTGATAAGGTTCGGTTGCCTTTTGCTTCCAGCGCTTCGTTGACCACTCCCACGTATTGCTTGGCTCTACGGACCCGGTGTCATAGGAAGGTGGATGGAAGGTCTCGCTGTTACGGTGGTGTTTCTTCGTGGATGTTATGTACTGAACCCATGTGAACGTTCGTGATTGGTCATCGGCAAGTTAAACAAGAAAAAATTGTTTTTGGCCCAAATGTCTGGTCGTGTCTTGGTACTCTACCACATCGCAGGCGGAAGCGCGGGCGTGCCGATAAGTCGTTCATTGCACGCTGTAGGGTGCGACGTTCGAGTACATGAATTGTTCACTTCACTTCTATGTGACAGCCAGTGGCAACTCGTGACGTTGCTCGTGTCGAGGCCTTGATATGTTTGTGCTCAGACCCGGAGGATGAGGATCATTGCAAGACAAAGGGCTCGACCTTGACTTTTGTCTTCATTTGTACAAGTGCCCCAATCTTGGATGAATGCTCTTTGATGCCCTATGTTGTATGTAGCAGATAGTCAAAGGCCGTTCTTGGCTAAACGAAGCAGACAAGAGCCGTGGACAAGGGGACGTCATAAGCACCGCGTTCACCAAGTATGGCCATTGGCTTCTCTAGAGGAGCACTGTGGTAGCGTTGTTGTTGGTACATATTGCAACGTGGGCGTTTCCGTCCGTGCCCAACCGCATGCATGCATTGAACGATGGTATGCTGATTTTCCAGGTACTACGTTTCCTTCGGAGGCCCTTCCACGATCGGCTTCAACAAGGAGGCCCTGTCCAACGAGGCGTGCCTCACCTACGCTAATGGTGAGATGGTTCGACGACATGCTTCCCCAAAACCTTCCATGTGTTTGTTTTCTCCGCGCGCACGGTTTGATGCACGACTTTGGAATCATTTATGAAAGGCGATAGGCGTTCAGTTTTGTCCGTGAGGGATCGGATTCCCAGTGTATGTAGGTGCTTGCTTCGTCACTACGGTCGTGACTCAGATGCGAGAGGGAGGGCACCTTGTACGAGGGGGCTCCGTTGTAAAAGGGTCGAAATTGGTTGTCACGGACTCGACCCGCTTTGTATAGTTGGGTACCCCTTGCTTCGGTATGAGAGGGGGCTCCGGTGTGAGGGCCAAACGCGTTGGTCACACCCTCTTTATGTCGGAACCATGGCTGTACTTCTCAAATCATTGAACCCGAGTTGAGCCCGTCTCTGCTTTCCGCAGCAGACAACGTGTACAGGTCCAAGACTTGCCTTATTTGCCTGGAACGCCTGCTTTATTGTGCAACCCCGCCGCCCCGCCGTAGCCGCCTCGTAGGATTCACCGCCGAGGAAGTGGCCGCTTTCCCCAACGACTGCGCGATTTCTGGCGAGCTGACATACAACCGGGCTTCCGGCGATGACACGTGATTTGGGGATTGCGTTTGAATGTGGGCTTGCCGGTGTGGTGCTAATGCGTCGACAATTGGTTGGCCTAGTAACGTTTGATCTGATGCCACGTGGAGTACACAGAGGCATCACACCGCGACTTGGTTGGCTGTCAAGCCCGATACCTCTCCTTGCGAGTTGATTCTGTAGGTGATGTTCTTCGACGGCTTAGCGCCGTTGGCGAGATGTGGTTGTTCGATATTTCTAGGTTCTGGGACGAAGCTCTCCTGCCCAGGCGATAGGGTGTTGGCACGGATCGATTAGAGATGGATTGTTCAACCTGGGGCCATTTCGGCTGATCTCACGTCCTGTGAGATTTCAGGCAACGACTGCTCCATGAAGTTGATCCCTTTGAACATAGCATGGCCGTTGCCGCACCACATTAGAGCTAGATGTGCTGTTTAGTTTGGTCGTATGCTCGCGCGCGCCCGTGCGTAAGCAAATGCCACAAGTGGTTAACGTGTTTGCGAGGTAAGCCCTCCCCTCGTGTGGTAGGGAAGGTGTGTGCTTCGGGTTTTGCGTGAGAATATCGGGCAGCGCCTGTCGTGTACGGTTCGTGACAAGGGCTCTGGGGACTACGCGTGTACTTTCCCTACATGTATTATTTCTTTGTAGTAGTAGTATTAGAGATACATCGAGATCAAGTAGAGGAAGTTGGTTATCGCGAGAAAACGTGTCCGGTTCCTGGCGTATTCCGCTTGTGCTCTTGTCAAGTTGTTCGACTGCCACTGCCACAAACATGACGTAGAGGTTGATATCTTGTCGCGTACTGCCCGGCTCGCCCAGTTGTGTCCACTGTTGTGTCTACTCCACAGCTTTTCACAAGCACACCCACGTCCTCTCAAGTAGTTCCCCATGCCGAGCAGGAAAGGGAAGTCCTTGGCCGCCTAGCATGCATATTAAGTTATATGCAGGTGTTTCGCTGTCTGAAAAGCCAGGAGTTTTCTTCGACGGCCACACGCACGCTTTGATTTACATCAGGCTTGCTGGCGTTTCTTCCAGCATCTGTTTTGCCCCACACTACAATTACCTCCTCGAAGCTGAGCAGAATAGCGGAAAAAACGTAATTTGCTCCCGCGAAAAATGCAAACGGAACGGGGTTTGTGAGACGACCATATATTTTTTAATCTGCATTTGTCAACGCCGCATCACCACGACGTGAGAAATGGACATGGTTTTTCGAGCATGATTTGTGTTTCTAGACTAAACGCCCACAGAAAAGGCCTCCGGGCAGTTCAAAAGCCGGGAAAGGCGCACTCCCAACTGCCACGTGACTTGGATAGTCTAGATGTTAAAGGTGATGCCTGAACAAATAGCGTGCACGATGGTATAGTAAGCGCCGACACGTGAGCTATTACTGCTGTAGTCATTCTGCCTTCGATCCCGCGACCCCAGTAGTAGCAGATCTGGGTGTACCAACACGCGTGTCGCCACTCCATCGTGCCCTGCTGGCATGCTAGTGACGATGTTTATGTTGAGACTCCAGCCGGAAAGTCGACAGATTATCTTGGATTTAGACCGGAAACCGTTACACTGACATTGGCCGAAAGGCCTCAAATCTTGGTCGAGCCTCAAGTTGCTTCTTCCTCTCACCACCGTCGATCACGGGCTCTGCGTATGTAGACTATGTCGCGACGCATTGCAAGATACGCGCCTGGTTGTGACACCCTCTCCGCCCTCCACCCCCGGCGAAATAATCTGGTTCCCGCTGTCGGTGGCCGCGAACCAACGAAAGTGGTACGGTACGGTGTACTGCTATAGGGGGCCTTCAATAACGCTGGTATGTGCTCGGCGCATCGACCGGTTCTAGAACTATTCACCGGCACTATTCACTGCTTATACACAGAAATATCCAGCGTTATTGACGCCCCACACAGTCATTGCTTGAAAACGCATTCAGAGCGAGAAACCTACAAAAGGGAGGGGACGAAAGGCTTTGTCCCCAAATTGGTCTAAATTTTTCTGCAGAGCCGCATTGCCACAATCTCCACAATTCCTTCCAGAGTTGCACGGGTCCTGGCCTACCCCTCTCGCGATTGTCGTGTCGCAATAGCTACATACGCATTCTACAACAATATTGTAGTTGTCCCGTGCAGGTAGGTGTGCTTTGCGGGGCTCCGGCAGCGATATACCATTTTTGATCAGGCGGTGCCTCCATCACGTCCATCACGGGGCGTTGGCTGCGTTGCCTCGCCGGTCAACACCCAACACCCCACCCAGCCAATAGCAGATAAGATGAAGGAGCTTAACACAGGGCAAAGAAAGCAAGAAAGCAACAGTTTCAGTAGTGGGGGACATGTTCTGTCCAGGCCTGCTGCTGTGGATTGGGTCCCATTCTTTCTGGTATGTAGTTACAGCAGTGCAGTCCGCAGATAGATGACAACTTACCTTGGGAGGAAAAGTACTCCCGATCACAAATAGGTACCCACACGTTTGCACTTGCCCCCAGCTCCCAGTCGCCCACGTACATACAGTAAGTCGCGAGGGATATGATTACTGTACCCTTCTCGCGATACTAGATCGGGAGGTGGTTTTTTGTTGAAAACCGTACCTACCTGTAGGCTAGTTCGTGCGTTGCTACCATTGGCCCGTTTACTACACAGCAGTAGTTTTACAATATACTGATTGAGGTATGAGGGGCGTACTCTTATGTTTGCATGTCTTAGCGTTTAGACCATTGACCACGCGTCCTCGAGAGGACGGAGCATTGTTCCCACAGGACCGATCACCGATGGCCAATCGTTCCTTTCTACTTTGCCAAAGGTGGCTCAAAAATGTCTTCCCTAGTCTGTCTATCCTAACGATATCCCTTCCCGCCTTTTCAACCCACCTCCTATGCCCCAGTACAGCTACCGTCCTTTCCTCTCTATTCCATGCCTCAAACATCTCCCTGTACGTTTCATCTATTTTTCCCAGCTCAGTCACGTACACTTCCCTCTCCTTCTGGTACAACGGACATTCCGCGACTACATGAACACGGTCTTCGCATTCGAAGCCGCAATCACATTTGAACTCGTCGTCTTCGTCGCCTACCGTCCTATGTCTTCGTCGACGTTCTCGAAGGCCTATGTCCCCGGTCCTGAATTTGACCTTAAGCTTTGTTCCTGCATCCTTTGGTCCATGATGGTGGTCCTTGAACCCTATTCCTTCCTTAAACATTCCGTACACTTCTAGACCCTCCTTGTGCTTGGATTCTTTCCTCAGATTCTGTTCTTCTTCTCTCTCGGCACAAGCAACAGATATCTTCTTCTCCTTGAACCCCTGTAGACCCTCCGTTTCCACGTTTCATCTTCGTCGATGTCGAGCCCCTTCCATACGTCCTCTACAACCTTGACCCATTCCGTGGGTTGTCTACCCCTCTTTTTTTTGCCCACTTCGCCTTCTATACAATTCTCGGCTGATTGAGGTATGGGGGGCGCCAATCAATGTGACCCTG